AATTTTTGAAAAATATAAAAAACTTAAAAATATAAGAAAATGTCAAAGAGTAAAATTTCGAAACAAACGAAACACGACCGACAAACTTCAAGAAATTAGTGACCTGCAACGAGCGACGTGGAACAACAATGAATAACAAGGGCCGAGCAACGAGTGACAATCGAAGAACAAACGACCAACGACGAACGATGAACGTAGAACGACGAACGTTAAACGACAAAAAACTAAAGACGAAAGTCTAAAGGCGAACGATGAAACTTAAAAGAAAAACGATGGTGAAATAGATATATAATAAGTTAAAAACCAAAAATATAGAAATTCGGAAAATATAAAAATTAGAAATATATAAAAATCGAATAATATAAAAAATAAAAAAATGGCATTTTGAAAAATATAAAAATTCGAAAAATATAAAAATTCGAAAATATAAAAATTCAAATATATAAATTTTTCAAAAATATAAAGAAACTAAACAATATAAAAAATAGGAATATGTCGAAGAGTAAAATTTCGAAACAAAATAAACACGACCGACAAACTTCATGAAATCAGCGACCTGCAACGAGTGACGTGGAACGACGATGAATAACAAGAGACGAGCAACGAGTGACAATCGAAGAAGAAACAACCAACGACGAGCAATGAACGAAGAATGACGAACGTCGAACGACAAATAACTGAAGGCAAAAGTATAAAGGTGAACGAAGAAACTTAGAAGAAAAACGACGGTGAAATAGGTATATAAATAGGAAAAATAAAAAAATATAAAAAATCAAAAAAATATAAAAATTCGAAAAATTTAAAAATTCGAAAATATAAAAAATCGGTAAAAAAATTAAAAATTCGAAAAACATAAAAATTCGAAAAATAAAAACGTTTGATCATTGGCGAACGAAAAACGACGAACCACGAATTAAGAACGACGAATGACAACGTACGAAGGAAGAAAACGAACAACAGATCAAAAACTAAAAAATAAAATACGAAAGAACAAAAATTCGAAAGAATTACGACGAACCACAAGCGGTGAGCGACTTGCGACGGGCGATGTATGACGATCGGGGAACTACGAACGACGAACAACGAGTGAGGAACGATGAACGAACGTAGAACGACGAACCATTTGCGACAAACGACGATACACGGATGATGACAGACATACGACGAAGAAATAGTAACACTAAAAGCTGAATAAACAAAAAAATATAAAAGTTTACAAAATAATTAAATTTAGAGAAATTTTAAAAATATATAAACATTGGAAAATTATCAACGAACGACAAGCGACTTTCGCCTTTCGACGATCGACAAACAACAAACAAAGAACGACGGGCGACGAGGAAGGAACAACGAACGATGATCGACAAACATCGAATGACGAAAGACCAGAAACAAAAATTGGATCAAACTGAAAAATTAAAAATTGAAAGATCTAATAATTCATGTAATATAAATATTCAAAAAATATAAATGAATGACGAACGATAAGCGACAAACGGTAAGCGAAGAGCGACGAACGACGAACGACGGACGACGAACAATGAACGATGAAAAACGAATAACGAACGACAAAAGACAAAAAATGAAAGAGGAAAGGCGAAAGACGAAAGACAAACGATCAGCGACCTAAAACAAAAATAGTTAAAAAAAACAATCTTTTAAAAATTCGAAAAATATAAAAATTAAAATAAACTTAAGTTCGAAAAATAAAAATTTGAAAAATATAAATGAACGACAAACGGCGTTCGTTGAACAACGAATGCACAGCGAAAGGTGACGAGAGACCCGCGATGACCGACGAGCGACGGGCAACGAACGACGACCGTCGAACGACGAGCGTTTAATGACGAACAACGAACAATGAATGACAAACGATGAACGATGAACCAAAAACGACGAACGACCAATGATAAATACCGATTGACGAATGATAAAAGACATAATATATAAGCGACCTACGAAAGACACGCGACGAGCGACCTGCGACGAGTGACTAGCAATGAACGGCGACTAACGACAAACGAAAAACGTCAAAAGACTATCGACGGACGACGGAAAACCAAGTACGAAAGACGAAAAACGAAAGTCGTAAAACGAAAAACAAAGAACGAAAGACAAAACACGTAAAGCGAAAGATGAAAAGGGAAAGATGAAAAACAAAAGACATAAAACAAAAAACGAGAAATAAAAGACGAATGACGAAAAACAAAAGACGAAAAACGAAAGAAGAAAAACCAAAGACGAAAGACAAAACGAGAGACGAAAAATGAAAGACAAAAATCGATAGACGAAAAAGAAAGACGAAAAACGTAATTCGAAAGACGTAAAAGGAATGACGAAACACGCAAGAGGAAAGAGGAAAAATGAAAGACGAAAATGAAAGACGAAAGACGAAAAACGAAAGACAAAAAACGAGAGACGAAAACGAAAGACGAAAAGCGAAAGTCAAAAAACCTAAGACGAAAAACGAAAAAGGAATGACGAAACACGCAAGAGGAAAGAGGAAAAAGAAAGACGATAAACGTAAGACAAAGAACGTAAGCCGAAAAAATAATGGCGAGATATCTGCACATTAAGCAGGTGACGAACAATCGTATGAAAAAATGAAACGTTTTCATGTGTGTTGTTGTTGAAATTAATGCAAATTATAAGAACATTTTCTCAAAAACAACAACAAAGAAACAAAAAACGATTATAAGTGTTTCTTTGTAATTTCATATCAATGGATGAACTAAGAGGCTCTTAAATTGATGGGGGTGGTCTCATTTACGTTTATTTTTCTGAAATTTCGAGAATTGCGTGTTGAAAATGTGGATTTCTTACAATCAAATATTTCATCGTCGCTTCGAGTTCGTCAGTTATCGGGCGATTTCTTTGCATAGGGATAAGACGCATGACGAGTTAGAACGGAGGACTGGTGTTCGTGGCTCGGTGCGGAAAAAGCTTTGGCTGGCTTAAACACTTTTGCAGATTAATGTAGAATAATATTTCGCAGCAGTGAACAATAATTTGAGAAAGTATGATCTGTCGAAACAAAACCTGTTATGTATAACTAGCAGAGTACGTTCACCATTGAATGTACTCCAAAAACAATGTACACTAAGTTTCTTTCGAATAGAATGAAACAAAAAAAAATATAGGTAAACCCAGATAACATTAAATGTGATGAGTTTATGTAAATGAATACATTTTATTCATCCAACTTACCATACCTCACTTACAATGTCAGGTGTGAATATTTTTCCTTGATAATTATGACAAACCTCGGTCGATGGTTAGCGTGATCAAAGCGATCAGGCCGAAAAGAGAGATTTTCCTCGCAATGTTCCAGGATCTAGTTACGTGTACCGAGGAGAAAGCTCACTTTTCAGGTTGAGAAGACCAGAAAAAGGCGTAGAGATGTACAACCACACGAACCCCTCAAACTTTAGCCGTACGGCCTTGTCTCCTTACGGAGCTGTTGTGCCAAAGTACATACATAGTGATTGTATTTAAAAAAAGAAATAATACGATTGAAGCAGGGAAACATAATTGACATACAGTTTTACCTGAGCTCTATTGTTGTAATTCGATCATATTCTTAGTGGAAGCAGCACCTCCTTACAACTTCTGGATCCAGAGAAAACGTGTACCTGATCTTGCCGTGAATAAATTAAAAGACGGCATCTCTTGTCCATTCAGCAGCAACGATACCCCTATCATGCTAGTTCGTAAATTCATTACTGCTAATTTTCATTCTCCGACATATTTAAACATATTGAACATCAAACGTATTTTTTCAAGTTCATTTTCGGCTTTGAGTCTGATTTTCTTTATTACTGACCAATAATTCACGTACTTTATTTACTCCACTTTGACTCTAATTTCGTTTTATTGCTGGCTTTTATTGTGCCCGAGCGTGGAACATCTACGAAATGTTCTCATTACTTTGCTCTTGTCTGAATGAAATTAAAAATGACTGTTTTGTCTGTCAATAAGAAATGGAATACAGCTAATCGATTATTGTCAAGAAAAAACTCCTCCTACTTGTAGGTTGCGATTGATTATTCAATTTCGTGATCATTTTGTACGTTATGTATTGTGTTTTTTGTTCACATATTTTTATTGTAAACTGTTCACACTGTAAAACATTAATTCAAATTTATATTTCGATATATTAGTACGTACAAGAAATACTAATAGTTTAACAGTTATTAACCATAAATTCCGATCTGAATGGCCGAGGTGGCCATGAGCGTGTACCGATTCAGCACTGCGGTCCAAAGGGTCGCGGGTACGATTTTCGCCTTGGTAACGGTTGTTTGTCCCTGGTTTCTCATGTATATGTCATCACGAAGGGCCTTGCAATCTGTTGATCCCAGATCAAAGGATCCCGTAAGTGTATTGGTGTTTAGTGTAAGGTCGAATATGTGTCATATCGGGGTAACAGGCTGTCGGCTGGATAAAAAGCCCTAAAAACAAGAATAAATGATGCATGATTTAGGAACACCGGAATTGGTTGAAACGAATTGATCGTTTTTAATTTTCTTTTACTCAAACACATTTTAATATTGGAAAGTGTGATTGTTATTGTGAAAATTATATTTACGAGGACACATAGTGGTACTATTTTATTCGTGAATGTTTGACTGCCGAACTTTTAAGAGTCGTTAAAAGTCATATAAAATATACCAGGGGTTGGTTGTCACAGGGCGTGGTTTTATAGCACAGTAGTATGAATAGGATGGCACTTTACTTCCGTGAGGATAGGGGGAAAAAGTAAAATTTAATTTAATTTCAAAGATTTACTTACATAAATAAATAGGAATAAGTTTATTAGCCTTTGGTCTTACAGAACAGCCTCACATAGGCAAATAAAGCAGTCTTGATAGGTACAAAATTCAGTATTTACAATTAGTATTGCAACTGAGTCAATCAGATTTTTAATAAATCATTAATAAATTAATCTCAGCGCATTTAAAAGAACACGTGTATGATGATCCTCGACAACAAAAATTTACCTGTCATTCCTAAACTCAAAAAAATATATACAAGTTTAAAAAAATACCTGGTTTTGGTAATATTAATAATAAAACAACTAAATCTTTTGATAAAAGAACCATTGTAGCTCTTCATCGTATTGCAGAATTGCATATTGAAGTAAGTTATTTTCGAAATGGCTGGAAAGCTGCTATTATAATACCAATAAAAAAATCAGCGTAATCACTCTAACTACAAACCTGCAGGTCTCATCTCTTCTCTTTTTAAAATTTTTGAAACCCTTTTACTTACTTGATTAAATAAACTTCTTTCTTGAAGTCGTAGGCTTCCGTGGCCAGAGTCATGTCCGTGATCTGGGCTGTCCGGGTGACGCCGCGTCGAAGTCTGTGTTGCCGACGTTTCGACCATCTTGTCGAAACAGAGCTGGTATGCTGAGGAAGACCACGACAAGGTGGTTTAAACGTCGGCAACACAGCTTTCGACGCGGCCTCACCCGGACAGCCCAGATCACGCCAACTTCTTTCTTATTATAATACAACTCCAAATATTCACTTTGGCTTCAAACACAATCTGGCTAAGACTCACCATAATTTCTTTCTTCCGCGGATCAGCAGAAGCGCTGGAAGCTGCTACTAAATGCTCCGGCCCCACCCTTTCCTTGCAACAGTGTAGGTCGAAAGACTGCTGTTGTATCGTATCCAGATCGTGTATTGGAAACAGGGTTGTCAAACAGGTAGTGAGCGTGCCGCATACGGCCCTCGGTACCAATAATTGTGGTTCACGAAAGGTTATTAGTTAAAAGTGAAAGTCCCTTGCATCCATGTCGGGCGAGAACATCATCCACCTAGAGTACGTGCTCTGCCAGAATGATCACCTTGTTTATGTAAAAATAGTAGACTGATTAGACTTATGGAATATTTTTTCAAATTCATCATCACTCATCATTGACGGTTACCGTATCGTGCTGTTGTACCCAAGTAGGCGGGTTGAAACCCGATCGAAGCCGTGGATTTTTAAGGGCGAAAAAATTTTTCGTACGCCTTCCTTCGGAAGGGAAGTAAAGCCGGCTGTCCCATGTTAGTAGATTTACTTGCATGTAAAAGATCCTCAAGCCTAAATGACGCCTCTGAGCTAAATTCAAATCGCCTGTTTCTCGCCCAAGAAATACCTCCTTCCTCTGCTAGTTGGTGAAAGGAGCGTAGCGAAATTTGCGTGGTCAGACGGAAGAGCAGGCCTAATGACCTGAGTCTCGCCACGTAAAATAAGGCACAAATTCAATTCACCTCAATGTGTTTCGCTGCGTTATGCATGGTACGGCCTGATATCACGCATGTTTCACGTTTGTTTCAGAGAAGCCGAGAAAAAATACTGAGATCAAAAGTATTGTGAAGTCAGGTGTGAATTGCCCTAGCAATGAAAATATAGACAGCAACCATATTAAATGAGTTAGTAATGACCCTTGAGACCTTGGAAGTTGGACACCCCTGATTTAAAGGTTTTAGTTGAGAAGATTACATCCTATGCTTACCTTGTCATATGTCAAAGGTAACAACTCTGATGTCCTCTCATTATTCATTTACCTAGACACAGTATGTTTGTCGTGTCTTCCGGAATGGGAAAATCGCCATTCGACTTTTAGAGGTTCCAGAACATTTTTGAATCATCTGTACAATGTAACGTAAACTAGAAACTTAGTCAACTTTATTGGTGAACCGTATTTATGCACTGAAACTTACAACCTCAAAATTTAAACAACTAAAAATTGCAAAAAAGCATTCTTTTATTTTCCAGATATTATTCCTAGTCTAAACAATCGTTCAATTTCGTTTTCAAATGTTTTCTCCAACTGAGTTTTTCAAATGTTCCGATTATTTGTAATATTTATTACTACAACAATGTTTACATAATATTAAATCACTTAAAATTTTATATGAAGGGAAGAAAGTCTATATGTTTGGTGATATCTACAGGTCATGGGGAAAGGTACAAAAAAGTCATTCTAATGTTATATCAGTTTATTACGGAAATCACTAGTGTATTGACTTCTCGCACAGTATAGGACAACAAAGAGAACATAACATTTGTAAGTACTCGCTAAAATATACATTTTAAAATGAACTTCACATTTCTGCTTCGGTATCATTTGAAGCACACAAAAGAGCATGGAATCATGTTAAGTGTTACAATTTCTTACAAAAATATTTTACAGAATAACATTTACAGTGCATGGTGTAATGACCGCAAAAATGTAACCATAATACTAGTAACTAGTGAGATGGGGGCTCAGATTACACCTCAGCGGTCATTGAAACAACTGAGTGATCTATTACACGAGCTGTACATACAAGAAAGAGGGCTTGAGTATATAAGACCTGGTATTTCTCGTATGTACGTGTCAGTACAATGATTAACTCCTTGATAAGTAACAATAAATATATGCTATATACAATATGATTATCTGTATGAAATATATTAACATTACAAAGTCACATAATATGGCACAAAATATCTAGTAAACATCAATTATGTATAGTTTATATAGTAATGTAACTACATAGGAATCGTTTTACTACGAAACGTTTCTTAGGAATATGTAAACAAAATACATTACATGTAGTACATTAAATAAGAAGATTTAGGTTAGGATTTGGAAGTTAAACTGCAGTCTTTTCCTCCAATGAATGCGCATGGGACAAAAAAGTATCGAATCTAAGAACGCACGAACGACAGGCGTGTTTGTGAACGGTCTTCACCAGCTTATGGTGAAATCACAAACTCACGAACTGATTGCACACGTCACGCCACTAATCTTAAAACAGGCTGAGCGCTGTAGACGCTGTGCATCGAAGAGAAGAAGAGTTAAAAGAATGTTCAAAATTTTAAAATTTCCTTACAAGGGGGTCGTGCACTCTAACGGGATTTTTCGCAGCCCTGTGAACGTGCTTCCGGCTGAAATAAGGGAATGTTACTGTATGATGGTTATATAGGCCTCGGTTTTAGTTCTCTAGCAATTGTTTGTTTACACAGTTCTTGGCAAACTCACATCACCATTTAGTAGATCTACTGATTCGATGTCCAGTTCAAAATTAACGGCACTTTTTTCCACTCTGTGTGAAACATTACTCTTCGGTTCAGACTTCAATCGCGCGTACAACACGCTTGAAACACTCTTCAATCTTCTGCATTCATCCTGCAACAGAAAAATGCACACAAGCTTAAAAAATGCTACTATCAGAAGGAATTCTTTGCATGTAATAAACATTAACAGAGAGATTGATGATGGATTTCAGTCGATAATTGCAAGATGGGAAAGAAAAAAAATTGAAATATAGAAAATTCATTACTTTTGTAACATGCATTCCATTTCATTATATATCTTAAAATATTTGCAATTAGCTCATATTAAAAAGTAATAACTTCATAAACTACATCTAATGCGGTTAATATTTATTAGTAACATTACAAAGATGACCATGTCAGTATTCAATTTGTTTTTGAATAGGTATAGGGACCTATTTATTTCAATTCAATGATACCTTATTTACGTAGCGAGACTCAAGTCATCAGACCATTCCGTCTGACAATGAAATAATTTTCTAGTCTACTTACACCAATATTAATATATTACATCGATGCGTCTACATATACCGCCTACTTGAGACGACGACATATATTGAATACTATAGAGACGGATGAGATACACTAAAGAACGAAATCAACAACTAAACAAGAGGTCGACATCTTGCTGAATGTACGAAAGTTTGACGTCTCAAAAATAGAAGAAAGTTTAATGTCTTAAAAGATAGACGTCTGAAGCATAAACGAAACTTGGACATGTTGAAAGGTGCTGTGTTTTTTAGTTACCAGTTGTGTAAATTTTCTATTCTCCTTGATGTTATCACTGTAAATAAATGTTGTGGTTTTTTTATTTTGAAATTGGAAGTGTTTTAAATTTAATAAACCAGTAAGTTGCCATAGGTAAAATTGAGAGTGTAGGCTGTAGAGCTATCTATAAAAAATAATGGATAGTTTTTTCTACATAAATCCAATTCGTTTAATCGAAAAACGAAAACAATTACATTAGACATGTTAAATACTCTTAACTATAAAGGAGTACTTGTAATATAATGAGAAAGAGAGCTAGGCGCGGGGAATGGTAAATTTAAAATATTAATACATTTAATATATTAGAAAAAATATTTTATTATTAATATTAATTTTATTAAAATCATTCCTAGTCCTTAGTGATAGTTCTTCCTTTCAAAACTCATTGGATGTTTCCCAAATAATCCGAAACCATCGCCATGAGTAATTGCTCCCTAGAAACTCAGATATCCTCTTATAGTCAGGTCTGCCTACAAACAAGTTGCTATCTTATTTTAGTATCTATCGATGTAGATGACAGGTGTACCTTCAGAGTAACATTGTGAAATTTAAAGTAGTTTTTAAAAAAGGCTATAAGTGTCCCTGTGGAAAGAATGACTACAGAAAATGTTCACAATATTATCTCATGATCAGCGGCGTTTAAGGAACGCCAAGGATAAGTCCTGAAAAATGAAAATGCTTTATTACAAGCTCGCAGAAAATAATTATAATATGTTGCTAAATGCATGTAGCATTATTACTTAAATGCTTCAAGTATAGCGAACATTCTTCCCTTGGTGTGATCTCGGGTTAGATTCGCGGTCGGGGCAAAAATAAAAATATAGCTTTGCTTTAAATTCGCCAGTTTCCATAGCTATGTGACGAAGACGTTTGATAGTCACTGTGAAGAGAAAGCGTCATGTTTACCACAACCCACTCCCACTTCCCAAACGTGGGAATTAAAGTAGACTTAATCACGAGGGATACCGTCGGTAAATTTGACAGTTGACTCTAAACGCCAAATACATAAATACTTTATATTTTAAATCTATATAATTTTCCTTCAATTATTTTGCAATTTCTTCTTAGTTGAGCCGTTGACCTGCTATTGATGTTCTCTGGGCATCGGAATAACATTGGTATACGACTATTAAGTAGTCAGAAAGTTTAATAAGAAACTTTTAATGTTTTTTTTATTTTTCAATTTGAGGTCATCGTACTAAATGATAGCTCTGACGGAAGCAACGCTCAGCAGAGCCGTACCCTCCGCAAGGGCCCCCTCCGGTAGCCCGAACCCCCGAGGTACAGTGGCAAGTAATTAATTGCTCGTTAAGGCTAATCAATGCAGCACCTCGATGGCGGCCGGTGACCCAGTAACTTAACCGCCTCGGGACTCGGGGACTCGAGGCTTCTGCCCTCCAATGAACAGGGAACGAGGGACGTCACGTTGGCGCGGATACGAAGAGTAGAATGGCACGGCCTCCTGCGAGCTTTTTCATGTTATAGTTATTAACATCACTGCACGAACAGATAACGCACGCTAATGAAATTTATAAACCAAGCCGATAGTGGAAAATTATATCCAACCGAGATCGTTTTGGTTGATGTGCGCTATGTGCCGTACAATACGTTTAGACAGTTACTAGTAAAAGCGGTTATTTCACGACATACACTGCGTGCTAAAAGTTCAATTTTCAGCACTAGTGCTACACGTGAGATGCTCAAATGTTCACATAAAGCTGTAGAGATTAAAGAAACAAAAAAAATCGTGTGAGAGCATCAGCTACTTTTGACCTTAACGTTCCATTAAGTGATTTGTATACTTGGAAAAAAAAGCCAGCTCGGTTGATTGAATGATTATTTATAGTGATTCCGGGCACGTCAAGTAACAGGGTCATTATTCCCGAAAGTGTAGGGCATGTTTTTGCTGGGAAGGTGGCGGTGATCTTTCTCTCGCTGTTTAACGCGATCCGGCGCGGACTTACCGTCGGCTAGCGGGATTCCCCTAACCAGGTATCTCTCATCAGCGAGGCAACACCCAAACCGGGACAAGTTCGAAACTCCCGACCGGTCTCTCGGCAAGTGTGGTAGTGTAGTTCATGTCAGTGTCAGTGTGTGTAGATAATGGGCGAGGATTGATCAAGGAAGAGGGAAGAATTATCACGCGCGGTCCGTGACCCGTTTGTTAGGTTACTGCTCCGGCATTCGCTGGTTGATTGGGAAAAACACGGAAAACTATCGATCAGAGTAACCGGCCTCTAGAATTCTTCTCCAGACAGCAGCTGAATTTGACCTATCTATATAGCTAATGAGCAAAATTCTGCCACTGCTGGGGCTCGAATCCTAGGATCTTCCACTCAGAAACACAGCAGTGAAATCAATAAATGCAATGATACACGTAAGCCGGTGTTTCCGAAAGTAATACGAGGAAGTGCGTGCTGTTGCAACACCGATAAATTCTTTCCATTGTTATTTTTTCATCAGAGGGTCCGACGCTGTTCGCCTCCTCGACAAGTGGTTCTCATTATTCCTGGCCGACGAGTCTTCCTGCGGTGATGTATAACAGCGGATGAGTTGTGCTTCCGGGAACAAGTGTGCGGTGAAGCCTACATTAGCAAGAAAAATGATCGCGAGGAGAAAGAAAGAAATGAATATGAAACGCTCAATGCCTCCTGCGGCAGGCGATGCTAAACAAAAATATGAAAGTCAATAGGAGTATCTTTCCTCGCACGAGCTTTCAGGGTTGAATACGTGTCAGACGCCTCATATATCGCAGTCCCTCTTGACATGATTCATTTAGTTTTGGAAGTGACAGTTGATACATGCCCTGCGTCGAACTTATATCTAAGAGCGAAAAAAAATCTGCAAAGAAAATATGTCACTAATATGTTGTAATTTAATGTAATATATCAATGTATACGTAATGTAATATCAAATACCCACTACATTTATCAAATTTATTCATATAATTTGTACTCAAATGGATGGCAATGATGTAGTGTATCAGGTAACGAAATGCCTCGTTTATATATTTTTTTTATTTTCAGTTAACCAAACAGTAAAGAAATCAACATTACTATTAAAATCCTGAGTTCATTTTATATATTTTAAAATTCCAGGAAAAATAGGTCACTGTTGTTTTCTGTATCTTTGCTTTATTAATTTTGATGTAAAATTTTCCTACCGCAAACTTACTACAAAAAAATTAATTAAACAATTAAATCCGGACTCATAATACTATCAAATACATACTTTCTTTTCACAAACGAACGACAAGCAGAATATTAGTGAACAGCAAACGGAAATTTTTTAATTGTGTTTTGCGACAAACAACAGGAAACAGAATGTATGCTGGTATATTTAGTGCCGTCTCTTTGATGTAATTTCGTTGAAATTATTACTCGCAATTGCGCTACCTCAAATGAATTCCTCCTGTCTTGTTGGGGCTTCCCGGGCAGCCTTATCTGTCCCTAATGAAAAAAACCGTGCGGCGAGCTTCAGGGCTGGCGCTTTCGCCACGTGCCTCCGTGTGATTCCACCGGCGCTCAGCACAGGAGCGGACCGACCGCATTTCGACGAGCCACTCGCGCAGACTCAAAACGAAAAACGAAAAAACAAAACAAAATAAAAATTCACCTCACTGGCCGATAAGACTCAGGTGGGTGAACCTATTTAACGCCGTGATGCGAAAGTAAATAGGTTCGTATATCGCCCACGCGAGGTTAATCCTAGCAAAACCAAATTACAAAAGGACAATGAAAGAAATGTGGGAATAGTTCGAATCGTATCAATCTATCTCCAAGCAGTTTTTTCGTGAACTCAGAGCTGTTTGTAATGTTCGATTTTTACAGGAAATGTAAAAGAAACTTCCTTTGATTCCATTTATTGTGAGTTACGGACCCAGATACATTCTGTGTACGTGAAAATTTTATCTATTTGAACCATGAATATGCTTCTTGACGAAAATAAAGAACCATCTGGTTTCGTTCGCAACAGTTGTACCCACAAATCTTTAGTCACAGACGATTGTATTTTTTCAAAGTAATCATATTTATTCAAAATAAATAAATTAATAAAAAAATAATACATCGTATTTATTTGTCGGGTAAAACTGACACTGCTTCGAATACACATTGTTTGTTTTAAGACGTTCCTTGAGAAACTACACTAGTGCATTCTCTTAAAAGGTCTGGCTGCCTTTTAATTCGGCAATTTTTCTTGCCACAGTTTATCATGAACCCGGACCAGTATCAAGCAAGAAATTAAAGAATAATTGGTAAAATCAATCTCGCACTGATATCTACTATGAATACACAGTTCCAAAAT